CTGCCGCTGAGAGTGGGAGGGAGGCGGAGACCCGTCTCGGGGTCGCCCTGCTCGGTTTAGATCGCTGGCCCCGGTCCACTCGGAGGAGCTGGGAGGCCTCCGCCGGCGGAAGAGCCAGGAGTCCCTGCCGGTCCCTCTGGCCGCCCCGAAGTCTGGATCTGTTGGCGGCAGCGGGAAGGGCACCTGTGGGGCCAGACTGGGACCCGGGTTCAGCAATCTCAGTACTTGAGTTCTGGCTCGGAAAGAATTCAGAGCCAAGACTCAAACTATAAGAGAACATTTATTTATAAGATCACAGAGTTAGAAGAAGTAATTGGTAGAAGAAATGGGCGTATGAAACAAGTTATAGAGGCAAAGGAAGGGCAGAGCCAAGACTCGAACTATAAGAGAACATTTATTTATAAGATCACAGAGTTAGAAGAAGTAATTGGTAGAAGAAATGGGCGTATGAAACAAGTTATAGAGGCAAAGGAAGGGCCCTTGGAGCTTAGAAGTGAGGGAGGTAAAGGTGACAGGCCTGGAGGGGAAGGGGGGGGGCGGTGCAGGCATGGTCCCAGGAGGGAGAGATTGGATCCTCCCTCCTAAGGGTTTTAGGGGTGGAGATTTTAGGGGAGGTCCCAGGGCAAGATCTCAATAATTCAGCAGCGTTCCAGGCGTGTCCTTTCAGGGCTGTGGTCTCCACTGATTGATTGGCCGGCACCAGGGCAGGGGGACATTATTCAACGCAGCTGGTCCTGAGGTCAGTCTTGGTGTCTGGTTTTGCTGCTTTTCTGAGCCTGGAGCTGAAATACAACTGAAGCCTAGATGTTATCTGTAGGGAGGAAAGGCCAGGGAGGTCCGAACCACAAGACCAGCCAGTGATATGCTAGGGAAGGAGAGGTCACCCTGGGGATGAGGTCCCAACCTACAACTGTCTGTTGCTAGGCACCTGGTGACCTTCTTGGCCCATGGTCCTTGCTCTGCTCATGTCTGTCTAACTGCCTACCACAGATCCAGACACCCCGTGGCTGGGGAGAAAGGGTTCAATGCAGTGGGTCAAAGCACGAATCCAAACTGAGCCTGGGGAGCCACGCCCTGCTGGAGGCTCTTCCCCTCAGCTCTGCAGCCACACTGGCCCAGAGTGGGTGTGCACCCTGTGCCTTAGGACAACCCTGCCATATGCTTTGAGCAGCACACCCCACACACCTTTATCTCCATCTCTAGCACCACCACCACCCAACACACCTGGCCTTGGCATCCTCCAGGCCTTCATTTAATTACCACCTGATTAGCCTTCCCGACTCCCCACTCCCCTTCCCACTCTGCTCTTCTCTGGTGCAGCACGTAACACAATTGTAATGATATACTTCTGTGGGCAATGACTGAATATATTTTCCCTTAGACCAGTGATGGCGAACCTATGACACCTCTGACACGCGAACTCATTTTTTTGGTTGATTTTTCTTTGTTAAATGGCATTTAAATATATAAAATAAATATCAAAAATATAAGTCTTTGTTTTACTATGGTTGCAAATATCAAAAAATTTCTATATGTGACACGGCACCAGAGTTAAGTTAGTTCGCCATCACTGCCTTAGACCATAAACTCCATGAGGGCAGGGACGAAGTCTGTCTCATTCAGGTTGTGGCAACATTTCTGGCAGTAAATGACCAGTAAATATCTGTTGAAAGGATAGATGGGGCTGTTCCAAGGAAGGGGGGAATGAATGGATGAGTGGGTGTGAGTGAATGAATGAATGAAGGTGAGAATGAATGTAAGGTGGTACTGCCACCCATTAAAAACTGGGGGACTAAGTTCAGCTCATTGGAGTTGGCCCACAATTTTCCAACTGGATTCTAAGGCTGGAGAGAGTTAATGGTGCTGAGTTCCTGCTGTGCCCTAGGCAGTCAGAGAGGACTTCATGGAGGAAGAGTGGGGATGTTTCCAGCTCCTGAGGGCATGTGGAAATCCTGTGGTTATCTGAAGAGACAGAGTCCCTGTTTGCAGGTCATTAGGAAATTAGAGTCATTCGGGGGTGATCAAAAGTGGTTGGATTGAATCTGAACTTCACGTTTCGCAACAATGGGCTGGGCTCTTTGACTGGTATGGACACGGGTCCATACCAGGCGACCACCAGATGAATGGCACAGCCTTTACCTTCTGGGGCCTGCTGGCAGGGACCTGACCTGACACCTCACAGAGGCCCCTATCATCTCTGACATTTCATAATTTCTCAAGATTTCCAGTGTATCCTTGCTAGACAGGTGTGCAAACCAGTTGGGCCAGGGCCAGGCCCCCAGGCCAGAGGCTCAGAGACTGAAGACAAATAAGGAAGGGGTGGATGTGAAACTTAGTTATTGCTTGGTAGGTTTCTGATGAATGAGATAGCAAATGAGTGAATGATTGCACGTGAGTAAATGAAGGGGTGAGTGGTCAGTAGATCATGGAGGTGAGAGCAGAGGCAAGGAAGGCTTTGTAGAGAAGATGCTGGAGCTGGTAAGGGGCTGTGACCCGAAGTTACAGGCTTCCTCCTGGTCCCTCCTCCTTCTCCCCCCACATGACCAGGCCCTAGCAAGTGTTAATTTCACTTCCGCATACTGTCTCACCAGGGTTATTTATTATAACTTGCAGCTGGTAGGGCAAGGTCCGTGTGGGCAGACCTTTTCACCCCCAGCTTGTCAAGGTCTCCCAGAAGCTCTCTGGACAGTCTGTCCAGAGTTTAACCTGCAAGAGCACAGCCATGGTGCCCTGGGGTCCGGTGCTGGGAGCCCTGTTGGTGGTCATCGTCGGGTACCTGTGCCTGCTGGGGCTTCTCCGGCAGCGCAGACCCCAGGAGCCCCCTCTGGACAAGGGCCCTGTGCCCTGGTTGGGCCACGCCATGGCGTTCCGGAAGAATATGCCTGAATTCCTGAAGCAGATGCGGGCCAAGCACGGGGATGTGTTCACCGTGCAGCTAGGGGGCCAGTACTTCACCTTTGTCATGGACCCCCTCTCCTTCGGCCCCATCCTCAAGGATGTGAAGAGAAAACTAGACTTCGTGGAGTATGCGGAAAAGCTGGTGCTAAAGGTGTTTGGATACCAGTCGGTACCGGGCGACCACCGGATGATCCACTCAGCCAGCACCAAGCACCTCATGGGCAACGGCTTGGAGGATCTCAACAAGACCATGCGGGACAGCCTGTCCTTGGTGATCCTGGGCCCCGCGGGCCCGAGCCCGGATGCCAGCAGCTGGCATGAGGATGGCCTCTTTCACTTCTGCTACAACGTCTTGTTCAAGGCCGGCTACCTGAGCTTGTTTGGCTACACGAAGGACACGGAGCAGGACCTGCTCCAGGCGGAGGAGTTGTTCACGCAGTTCCGTAAGTTCGATCGCCTGTTCCCCAGGTTTGTTTACTCCTTGCTGGGGCCCCGGGAGTGGCTGGAAGTGGGCCGGCTCCAGCGCCTCTTCCACAAGACCCTCTCTGTGAAAGAAAACCTGGAGAAGGATGGCGTCAGCAACTGGATAGCCTACATGCTGCAGTTCCTGAGGGAGCAGGGGGTAGCCCCGGCCATGCAGGACAAGTTCAACTTCATGATGCTGTGGGCCTCCCAGGGGAACACGGGGCCCACCTCTTTCTGGGCCCTCTTGTTCCTCCTGAAGCACCCAGAAGCCATGCAGGCTTTGAGAAAGGAGGCTGCCCAGGTCCTGGGGGAGGCCGGGCAGTCTTTCACCTTCGACGTCAGTGCCCTGCAACGCACCCCAGTGCTGGACAGCGTGATGGAGGAGACCCTGCGGCTGGGGGCAGCGCCCACCCTGCTCAGGGTGGTGCACGATGACCACGTCCTGAAGATGGCCAGCGGGGAGGAGTACCGGCTCCGCAGCGGAGACATCGTGGCCCTCTTCCCTTACCTCTCGGTGCACATGGACCCTGACATCCACCCCGAGCCCGCCGCCTTCAAGTACGACCGCTTCCTCAACCCCGACGGCACCCGCAAGGTGGACTTCTACAAGGCGGGCAAGAAGATCCACCACTACACCATGCCCTGGGGCTCGGGCGTCTCCATGTGTCCCGGCAGGTTCTTGGCCCTGAGCGAGATGAAGCTCTTTGTCCTGCTCATGATCACACACTTCGACCTGGAGCTGGTGGACCCCGATGCGCCTGTGCCGCCCGTGGACCCCCAGCGCTGGGGCTTCGGCACCACGCAGCCCAGCCATGACGTGCGCTTCCGGTACCGCCTGCGGTCCCCTGAGTGAGCTCTGCCAAGGGGGCCGCAAGCCTGGCCAGAGGGGTTCCCTGGGGGTCTTCGCCTCCTCTCGCCCCTCTGCAGCCAAGACCCCCACCGACTACTGCTCCCTGCGGCTCTGTGGCACCCCTACCTCTGTCCTGGTGGTCCTCCTTGCTCTCGTCTCCTTCTAGTCACCTCACAGGCTTACCACTCTCTCTCTAAAGCCCCCTCAGTGGGTTCTGCAGGCCCCCGTCACAGGAAGTCCAGAGGAAGGGATTGGGAGATAACACAGGCCTCCACCAGTCCTGCGGGATAGAAGCTGGTCCCCACGAGGAGCTCAGCATCTTGCCAATATGACCCCCACCCCCTCCCCTTAATTTTCCCCCTCAATACTATTCCATGTCTTCTGGAATTCGCATTCTAGAACCGTGTTGTCCAATACCAATACAAGGGAAGCCACATGTGTAATTTTTAATTTCCTAGTTGACATATATATTTTAAAAAGAAAAGAAGCAGGGGGTGAGGGGGTGAGAGATCAACCAATGGACTTGTATGTATGCATCTGAGCATAACCAATGGACACAGACAGTAGGGGGGTGAGGGCATGTGCTGGGGGTGGGAGCGGCTGGAAAGAGGTCAATGGGGGGAAAAGGAGACGCATGTAATACTTTAAACAATAAAGAATTTAAATAAAAAATAAAGGCAAGTAAAATTTGTTTTTATAACATATTGAACTTACCCCCATATATCCAAAATATTAGCATTTCAACACGTAATCAATATAAAGAATATTTTTAGATTTCTTTTTTGGTATTGTCTGCCATATCTGGTATGTACTTTTTTAAAAAATGAATTTATTGGGGTGACATTGGTTAATAAAATATATAGGCTTCAGGGGTACAATGCTATAAAACATCATCTGTATATTGTATGTTCAAAAATCTGGTATGCGCTTTTTACCCTTCCAGCGCGTCTCAGTTCAAGCCAGCCCCATTCCAAGTGCTCCACAGCACGTGTGGGTAGTGGCCACCAGACAGGGCACAGCCGGTAGAGAAATGCTGCCTCCGTGTAGGAGTGATTCAAGCATTTCTCTCCACACCCGGCCTGCCGGGCCCTCTGCTCACTCTGCTGCCAGAGATCTTTTTCTAAAAGCATCTCTAATTGTCACTATTTTATTTTCTGGTTCTCCATTCCCTTCACACACCTGATATTTAAGTTTTGCCCCAGTTGGTCCCCAAATTGTCCATCCAGTGCAATTCAACTTCGCCAGCTTTCCCTGGTAGAACTCTCTAGGTCTAGAAAGCACAGCTGCTTGCTTGTCCTGCCAACCCCAGAGCCGGCTATTCCTGGAAGCCTTCTTAGGTCTGGCCCCATCCCATCCTCTGGCCTCCAGCTACTGGGGCTGCCCGAGTACTGTTTGCATCACAGCACATCTGTTATGTGTTCTTGCTATCTGTCCGGGATTCCTCCTCCTGTCTGCTCCCCACACTGGAGCCCATGGGGCTTGGTATCATGTTCCTCATCTCTGACCCCCCAATTCCCCAGCTGTGGATTAAATTATAGACACCTGACTTCCAGTCTCGGCTAATTTATTTCACTTCCTCAAATCACTTCCTTCCCTCCGTGCCCTCACTCAGCTTTCTGGCATATGAACTAGAGACAGTTCCTGTTGCCATGCTTACCAGGGCTGGGAGACGGGGAGGGGATGCTGCCAGAGCTGCAGCTGGCTGATGGCAGGGCCTGGCTGGGGCTGTGATTGTGGGAACTGGTGTAGGGTCCTGGAGGAGGGAGGCCCCAGCAGCATGGACCCCCTGCAAGGACTGCCCAGTGGGGCTTCTCTCTGCTACTCCTCCCCCTCACCCCTGACTGGCCTCTTCCTTCCTGTTGAGGTGGCCTGTTCTGCCCTGAGTTTTGCCCAGATACTAGACTAACAGGAGTCTGTCCCCACCAGCTATGTGAGTCTGGGTCAGGGCTGGCTTTCTCTGGGTCTAGCTGCCTCCAAATGATGACCTGGAGCCTGACAGAGCTTTGACTGGTTCCATCCTGTTCCATGAGGGGCCAGCAGCATACAGAGTTAGTAGGGAGCACAGGAGAGGGAGGACGGGGCTGGGAGGCTGGGGGCTGACCATGGGGAGGGAGCTCCCCAACAACCTGCCCACATAGCCAGGCCTGGTAACGGAGCAGGTGTGGAATGGAGCAAAGTGGTAGGGCCTTCACATCCCTCCTTGTCCCTGCCCAGACCTGGGTGCTGCATCCCATCTTCTGCCCCCCCACCCCCACCCAAAGGACCACGGGCCAGGAGCCTGGCCTGTGGACAGGCTGGGGAAGGGCTGAGGGCTCCAGTCCACTGAGTCAGGGCCAAGAGTCTCAATTGAGAGCGAACTTCATGGATCCTGTGACCTGTCTGAGGGTAGGCTGGGACCGAGGGAAGCAAGGATGTCCATGTAACAACAGGCCTCCCAGGAAGCCGTGAGTTCCCAGAATTAGAGAGTGCACTTACAGGCCAATGCCCACTGCTGCCACCCCCCCACCCCCCGCATGGGGACTGCTGGAGACACCCTCTCCAAGGGCTGCCCCCCCCCCCCCCCCTTCCTCTCCCAGGAGGCGGGGGGGGGGGGAAGGAGAC